TCTAAACAAAATGAGCACATTCGAAACAGTGATTTTAAGCTAAGGATATCCTCAATCAGTGTTGTCATTCTGCAGTCCGAAGCTTTACCAAGCTTGAGTAGCTTCAGCAGTCCTTTGTTACGAATATGCACTGAGATGGTACTCCATTGTCTGTCCAAAGCTTTGCATAAAGTTAGCTTGATTGCTGTAGCCTCATCAATAATGTGGTCACCCGAGCTTCTGTCTTTTAAGGCCCATACTTCCTGTGCCTCATTTGGTACTCTGCGCACAGAAACTCCAATACCCAGTACTGCATTTCTCTTAGAGGTTTTGATTGCCACTCTCAGATTTACCCCTTCGTGGCTATCTGGTGCAACACTGTCCACTTCCACTGGTACCACTGTTTCTGTTGTGCTTTGAGGCTCCTTCTTCGAATCTAACTCCACAATCTCCAGCCATTCCATGTGTGCTTTTTGAATAACACTGCACGGATTATAGCCTGCCTGGTTCTCGAACTCCCTTGTGTTCCTATCCTTCCAAATTTGCCAAAATATATTAGCTGTGAGCCCCATATGGTTTCTTCCATCTTGTCTATTCTTCGCCTCTGTGATCCTACTCCACCATCTGTGGAAGTTTCCTATCTGATCATCAGCCCCCTCCTAAGTTATTGGAGCTATTTTCCAGATGGCTTTTGCTATGGGACATTGCAGAAGAGTATGTTCAATTGTTTCCGGTTCTTCTCCACAGCCTTTAGAAACTGGATCACCTTCTCCAGTTCGCTTGAAAATTGCCTCTCTGACTGGGATAGCTTTTTTTTTTTTTTTTTTCGAAACGATAGGATTTTTCATTGCTTTAATGAGAAAGAGTACAATATGCGAGCAACGGCTCGAGAGAAGCTATACAAAAAGTGTTCTAAGAACACTGAGGAAACAATCTTTCCTCATCAACAATAATGCCTAAAGCATCTTCACTTAATTTTTTGCTAACTAACATCTGTTCTTGTCTACACAAGTCAAAAGAGCACATGCAAAACAACCTCTGTAACTTAGAGATGTCTTCCAGTACTGTTGCCATCTTGATGTCCGCAGGCCTCTGCTGTTTGATTTGTCTCCATAGCTCCTTGTTACAAAACTTCAGCTTCACCTTACTCCAGCTTCGGTGCACAGCTTTGGATAAGGCCAGCTTCAGAGCTAGTGCATCATCTAGGACTTTGCTTCCCAGACTGATCTCATTCATTAACCACCCTGTCATTCTATTCCTTGCATATTCCTTAACTGTGACTCCTATCCCAAACGTATGCTGTCCTTTTTTGTTTGTTGTTTCTATCTCCATTATCACAGCTCCCTCATTCGTAAGGTTCTGATCTTGCAAATCTTGTCTAGGGGCTGTTTCTTCTGTGCTCTTTCCAAATGTCGTGCCCTCTTCCTGCAGCTGTTCCATCCAATCCTTGTGTGCTCTTGCTATTGTTTTGAAAGGTGTAACTATGTCAGATTTCTCAAATTCCCTCTTATTTCTTTCTTTCCACACCTGCCATAGGATATTTGCCGTTAAACCAATGTGTTCCAACCCCTCTGGTCTAAGCCTTGCTTCTGTAATCCTTAGCCACCATCGCTTGAAGTTCCCTTGTTGGTCCTTTGCCCCATCCCACTGAATAGGAGCTGCCTTCCAAATGTTCATCGAATGAGGACAGGTCAACAGGAGGTGTTCTACTGTTTCCTGTGCAGTTCCACAAGTTGTACAAGTAGGCTCACCCTGTCCCGTTCTCCTCCTCACTGCTTCCTTCACTGGCAGGGCTCCTTGAATGCATTTCCAAATGAAAAACTTGATCTTGTGCTTGATGTTTAAACTCCACAGAGTGTTCCACATTTGAACAACTTGAGGGCTACCATCTGCATAACTGGAACTTGCTCCATCAGGGTTGCCCTTTTTTCTTTGTCGGTTTTGCTGCATCAGGAAATTGTAGCCCGAGTTTACAGTGTATTGCCCTCCCGCCTTTGGTTGCCAGTAAAAGCTATCCTCCCTCTCTGTAAGACTCAAGGGAATAGCTAGAATTTTGTGCGCATCATGTCTGTTAAAATTTCTGAATATGATATTCCTATTCCATCTTTGATGATTTATGAGCTCTTCCACCTTTTCCAGCCCACAATTGTTCCTTCGACTTGTAGTCGGTCTACCTGTAGTTGTATCTGGAATCCACTTATGATCCCAGATGCTTGTACTCCGCCCATTCCCTATCCTCCTAATCAGTCCTTCATTGAGTAGGCTTCTTGCTCCCATTAAGCCTTGCCAAAACCAGGATGCATTTTTGGTGGGACTGCAATGTAAGATGAACTCCTTTGGAAAATATTTAGCTTTTAACACTTTGGTCACCAACAGATTTGGTCTAGTAATTAACCTCCATATTTGCTTTCCTAGCAGAGCTTGATTGAAAGCTTCAAGGTCCTTGAATCCTAGACCACCTGCCTTTTTATCCCAAGCCATTCTTTCCCAAGAAATCCAGTGTATTTTGTTCTTTCCACTAGATTCTCCCCACCAAAAATTGGCCATCAGTGCACAGACATCTTTACACAATTTCCTTGGCAGCTTAAAGCACGACATAACGTACGTAGGCATAGCCATTGCGACTGCCTTCAGCAATACTTCTTTACCTGCGGGACTCAGAAATCTGTTTTTCCAGCTCTGGAATCTTTTCCTTATATTGTCCCTCACAAAGCCAAAAATCTGTTCTTTAGTTCTTGAGACAACCATTGGGAGCCCCAGATATTTGCCTTGTGTTGCCTCTATCATTCCTCCCAGAGCTTGACAGATTTCTCCCTTCTTCTCGCTGACCATGTTTTTGCTAAAGAACACTGCAGATTTGTCCAAATTGACCAACTGCCCTGAGGAGTTTTCATATACTTTCAAGACTTTCATAATCTCCCCTGCCACTTCCTTATTTGCTTTACAAAAGATGATAGAATCATCAGCAAAAAAAAGGTGAGTAAGAACTGGACCCTGCCTGCTGATCTTTAGACCTGCAATTCTTTTGCTTTCCTCAGCTCTTCTCAACAAATTCGAGAAGCCTTCTGAGCAGATTAAAAACAGGTAAGGGGACAAAGGGTCCCCCTGCCTGATTCCCCTCTCTGGGGACACATAACCTTTGACTTCCCCGTTACAATTGAAAGAGTAACTCACTGTCTTCAGGCAGCTATGGATCCAGTTGATCCACGTAGCACAGAATCCCATTTGTTCCATCATAGCAAGCAGAAAGTGCCACTCCACCCTATCGTATGCCTTTGCCATGTCCAATTTGATTGCCATGTAGCCTTCTTTCCCCTGTCTTTTGTTTTTTAAATAATGCATATACTCATGAGCAATAATCACATTATCCAAAATCTGTCTATCAGGGATAAAAGCAGATTGAGTTTTGCTTATGCAGGAATCCAGGACATTCTTCAGTCTATTGGCCAAGATTTTGGATATGATTTTGTAGATCACACTGCATAGACTGATAGGCCTGTAATTTTTCAAATTGATTGGATGCAAAGTTTTGGGAATGAGAGATATGACAGTATGGTTCACAGACTTAAGCATGAGACTTGAGTGAAAAAAAGCTTTGATTGCTGGTATGATATCATTCTTAATGGAGCTCCAGAAATTCTGAAAAAACATTGGAGTCATTCCATCATGACCTGGTGCTTTTTCTGGATTCATAGAGAACAAAGCCTCATGGATTTCTTTTTCGCTAACTTCCTTGATCAGATTATCATTCATTTCCTGAGTGATTGAGTGTGGAATACCAGATAAAATTTCTGTCATTTCACCTCTCCCTCCACTCGTGAACAGCTCCTTAAAATAGACAGCAATTTCAGTCACAAGCTCATCCTCATTGTTAGTCCAAGACCCATCCTCTCTTTGTATTTTGCTCAAATTATTACTCACTCTCCTTCCCTTGACGTAAGAGTGAAAATACTTAGTATTTTTATCCCCTTCCCGCAGCCAACTAATTCTAGCCTTTTGACTCCAAAAGATTTCTTCCTCCTTATAAGCTTCGGCCAGCTGCTTCTTAAGATCCCTTACCTCCTCGTTTCTCTTATCTGAATCTGAGATCCTAACTCTTTCCAGCTCATGTTTAAGATCATTAATTTTGCTCCTAGAGTTAGATTGGACTTTATTTCTCCACTTCAAAAGTTCGATTCTGCAATTTCTAATCTTCCTAGTTACTTTGAACATTTTAGAACCAAGTTCCTCCTTGTTCCAAGCCTGCTTCACCACTTCCTGGATCCCCTCTTTGTGGAGCCATCTCTTATCAAAATAAAACCTCTTCTTCTTCCTCCCAATCCCTGGATTAGTATCTAGTAAAAGTATAGAGTGATCAGAAGCAAGGGTATCAATGTGTTGACACCTTGCCATCTCAAACTCTTGAAACCACTCCACACTTCCAAGACATCTGTCAAGCCTTTGTCGGACTTCACCTTCATTATCCCAGTGATTACTCCACGTCCAAGGGTGACCTTCAAAACCTATATCCACTAATCTATTACAATCTATGAAATCTCTAAAGTCCCTAAAACTCCTCTCCTCCCTATACGCTCCCCCCCATTTTTCATCATTTGACAAAATATCATTAAAGTCACCTGTGATTAAGAATCTGGATCCCCACAAACTGCTTCTATCAGTTAACACTCTCCATTGTTCTTTCCTAATTCTCTGGTCACAACTGGCATAAACACCAATAAACCACCAAGTAGCCCGGGTCTCATTATCTTCCACTCTAGCTTCTATAGTGAAGGCTGTAGTGTTTACCTCCACAATATGAGTTTCCTTAGTCCATAACAAAGCCATACCACCTGCCCTATTCATAGCTTCCACTGTCACATTATGATCCAACCTTAGATTTCTAGCTATTCTATCTATCACATTCTTCCTATTCTTAGTCTCGCTTAAGAAAAACATACTTGGGGAGGAGAGGTTGTTAACCTCCCTCAGACTGGGAACTGTCAAGGGACTCCCCACCCCTTGGCAATTCCACACCACAACTCTCATTTGCAACTGGAGGTCCCATTAAGGAAGGACCCCTCTCCCTTTCCCCTAGTCTCTTCAGAATATAGCTCAACCATAGGTTTAGATTTTTTCCCTTGAGTTGCATCCTGTTGTGCTTCCTCCATCAATTCATCTTTAAGCACCATCTTCCTCTTTCCAGTTCTAGCCTGAGAAAAGTCATTATCAATTAACACTTGTAATGGTTTTCTAGTTTTGACTGGATGCTTTAACTTCCTAAAGGATCTCCTGTATTGCCTTTCTGTCACCCCTCCCATCTTTTCATCTCCCAGGGAGTCCTGATGAAGAACTAAGACCCCTGCCTCTTTCTCCCTGAGCTCGGTTTCCAGATTTTGGTTGTGCACTGCCACCTCTACATCCTCCTCCATCTCTACCGCTGCAATACAAGTCTGGATTCCTTCCCCCATTTGAAAAGAGGTGGTGAGAACAAGGCCCTCTTTCTCAACGTTCGTCTGTCTCTCCACCCTATCATGTGATTCTGCCTTATCTTCCTCCTCTCTAGTTGAGGTTTCTACATCCAGCTCTGTTCTAAAATCAGACCCTACTGTCTCCCGCTCCTGGTTGCTACCCCTTTGTTTACCAGAGAACTCCAAACCAGCTACAAGTTTCTTCAGATTTTGTGGCCTAATTTTTTCCTGTTCGACCATCTCCCCATTCCTAAATGTCCAGTAGCGTTTATCACTCCCCTCGGTCGACCTCCCTAATTTTCCCTGGGGTGAAATCCTAGTGTTCCCTGCTCTCAGCCAAGGACCGTACTGGTTCTCAGCATTGTTACCGCCTAAACTTCGCTTTTCTTTGCAGGACCTCTCACTGTGTCCTACAATCCCGTAGTTATAGCAGAAATCCGGACATCTTTCGTATTTGAAAGCTATCCATTTTCCAGCTCCCGCAATCCTGACCACAGTACCTCTGAGAAGAGGTTTAGAAAGATCGACCAAAGCTAACACTTTCAAATGTCTACCCTCCTTCCCTCCAGATTGTGGGACTAAAACCTCCTTAACATCAATAAAAACTCCTCCTATCTTTTTTCCAATCTCCTTAGAAAGCCAGTGAACTGGTAAGTTCCAGAGTTGCACCCACAGAGGTGCAGTCATAAAGGCTTTGTAATCCTCCTCTATACCTTCTACCCATCTTTTCAGGACTAACATCTGATTGTCTATAACCCACGGTCCCCCCTCTACTATTCTGTGCTGATCATCAGGGTTTTGCACGTTGAACTGGAACACATTAGGTCCCAGTTCCACCACGGACAGATTTCTGGGGTACCCCCAGGCCACAGCCACAAAGTTTTTAATTCCAGTGAAATTAATAACTTTTTCTCCTATAACTCGACCGATAAAGCTGTTCTCACAAGCTCTCACCCCCGTATGAAAGTCCTCCAGCTCCAACGTCGGTCCTAGCAGCTCATTCCCTTCAAGGGAAAATTTCTGTAGGAGCTCTGTCAAATCTCCCTCCATGGAACAGACCAGCAATTCCACGTGGTATAACCACCCACACTCAGGATAACTCAACGCAAAGCAGACAGCAAAGGGACCCAAAAAAACAAAGGAAAGAGTGGACCAAAAGCTAAACAGAAAAAGGTTTTAGCATAGGAATTAGACAAAAATAGAAGAATAATGATCACTGCTCACTTGTGCCGCATACGCAAGACAAAGGAAAGAAAGAACACTGACTCTCTTTTGTCCAGGCATTAGCAAAACATCAGTTGGTAGTGGCACTTGAGCTTCTGCCCTCCATGCACGGACTAGCTGTAGCTGATCTACGTTCCTTTAAACTTGAATCCAAAGACCCTCATAGTTGATTATTGATCGATGGTTTCCTAGATGTAGATTTGCGGGAATGTGGGAATTTGAAAATATTTGAAAAGTGCTGACTTCCCACCAAAGAGGTGAGAGGGCTCTTAACCCAAGAGAGAGCACAACTACTTTAGAGTGAGAAAACCTCTACTATAGAGAGAGGACCTCTGACGCACCAAAAATAATTTATCCTCTGACTGGGATAGCACCCCTGATACATTTCCATATGAACAATTTAATTTTGTGTTTGATATTAAGCCTCCATAATGCATTCCATATCTGTTTACGTTGGTTACTGCCTGCCTCCATGCTCGTACCAGCCATTTCCTTAGAATTGCTACTGCATAAGCTCTCTTTCATAAACCTCTTATAGCCAGACCTCACCGTGTATTCTCCTCCTTCATTGTATCCCCAATAATGTGAGTCTTCTCTCCCCCCTAGGCTGACTGGGATACTAAGAATCCTCATAGCATCCGACTTATTGAAAAGTCTGAAAACCAGGTTGGAGTTCCATCTTTTGTTAGTGATGAGCTGCTGAACTGTTTCAAACTTACAATTTTGTGGCTTAGTTGTTGATGGCTTGTCATTTGGGGCCTGTGGAATCCACTTATGTTCCCATATCTTTGTGCTAACCCCATTCCCTATTCTCCTCAGTATCCCTTCTTCCAACACATCTCTCACACTCATCAATCCCTTCCAGAAACTATAAATAGTGTTATAGTTTCCAAAAGTGTTAATTCCATTTTACACCTTTGAACTATTCCCTAATTTTTATTCTTTTAAGTTAGAAAGATTTACTTCCTAGAATCTTATACTTGTCCACTTTAGTCCACTATAAATGGAATGTACCAAAGTTAACAGAATAGTTGCTGCTCTTGGTTACCTTATAACTAAAATCAAAATATTCCGTTTACACAGTGACAGCAATTTTATATAGTCCTTCAACAATTGGGCTAAAGTGGAATGAGCTTAAGATTTTAAGCAACAAAGTGTTCCGAATTCTAGCTTAAGGACAAAAGTGCGATTTAGAGTATATTTCAAGAGAGTAAAATGAAATTAACCCTTTCCAAAACTTGGTCATAATAAGGTAAACGGTCTCTTATTTTTTTTTTCACAGGACTTGTTAAATCTTAGAAGACATTGATTTTAGGTATTTCAAGCTTAATTGATCTTTCCACATAGGACTTGTCCACAATTTGGACGGAGAGTTTATGATGATAGTTTTTTTTCCTCTTTCTGGGTTGGTAGCCGGAGAGGGCAGTTAAGGAATGTGATTAGTGTTAGAAGGCATTCGCTCTATGTGGCTTTTTCAGATCGGACTTCTTGGCTATTGCAATTTGGAGAGTTCAATCTGGAAGTGTTTCTTTTTTTCTTTTCCGATTCTGCAATTTGATCACTTTTGTTGTCTTGAATACCGACCAGAATAATGTTTTAGTGTTCATCATTTTTTGTCTATGGTATCATATTCAGCAAGGGCTGGTCCAACTGATCAAATTTACTATTTATTTACACAATATGACTCGGATAAAATATGTCATTGACAGGATCAATCCAATCATTATAAACTCTCACTGTCCTATATGTTGTGAGATAAACAGTTATTTATTGTAATTGACAAAAAAGGGTTTAAGGGATCTTCGATCCATTCGATGCAATTCAAAAGTTGGAATTTTCTTGATCATTGACAGGTTGACACGAGGTATTGTTATCATTAGTAATTTAGTGAAACATGTTTTGTGAAACTTGAGGATTACAACAGTAAAGATCCTTATTGCCAAATTAAAGACACACAAAAGCCACAATGAAAAGAACCCCAATAGGGAAATTGAGAGATAAATCAGCAAATCTTGAAAGATGATTAGGCATAGGCATCAGGATTTTCGATGAGATAGGCCTCCACAACCTTGTACATTCCCACAACTTTTTCTTTGCCTGCTTTGATATCTTCTTCTTTGAGTGAGAAATCTCCTTTGGTGTAGTACTTGCTAGTCACCTTGGAGACAGAACCACCTTCTGGAGTTGGCTCAAACTTGACCTCATAAGTGATTTTCTCAAGGTTTTCTGTCAATGCACCGCCTTCAATCAATGTGTAGTTGTAGGTGTAAGTTTCTTGGTTGAGCTCATCAATCTGGTACGTCAAAGATTTAAAATGGCTGCCTGCAAGGCATTGACAATTTCAAACACAAGCGTGGCTGTTGCTTTCAACATAATAGCAATAAATTCTGGAAAGTACATTATATTTGTCCAATTGAAGGGTTTAGAAGGTATAGGACTTATACAACATGATGCTTGAAAATTAGATCTGCAAAACTACTTTTTGTAAAGTAAAAAATCGTTTCTACACTGTCAATGCAAATATTAATTTATGCTGGCGAGTTTGGATGAATGGCAAATCTCGTCTACCCAAATTTAAACATGAATCTTGAAAAGTCGATCTGCAAATTTACTTTTTGTAAATTCAAAAATCATTTCTATATTGTCGATGCAAATATTAATTTTATACTGACGAGTTTGGATCAATGACAAATCACGTCTATTTAAATTTTATATATATATATTGCACATCTAGTAAGCATCATGCGGTCTACTTTATAGAATTCTTTGCACTATGAGTGTAGTAAAGATCATAAATATTTTTATTAAACTGTAGCAACTAGTTGAGATGTTTACAATTTTTGTTTTCTAGCTAGGACAGTAGCGTTTGAACTGTTAAAGCTTTCAGTACGTATAATGGAATGGCCTTGTAATCTTACCTTCAGCAAAGTTAATTTGCTTAATGCTTCCTGCTCCACCATTACCCTGGGTGATTTCAATGCTCTTAATGACTTGTGGCATGAGTTTTGGGATTAAATTGTGGGAGTCTACAATGGAGGCTTTGAAGATTCTTTTAGGGGCGATTGGGGAAGTAGATTCCTCATTCAAAGTTGTAACACCCATGACTATAGAAATTTCTTCTTAAGAGGCTTGATACCAAATAATAAGAATTGAAAGAAACTTAGAAAGCTGGGAGTTTTTCTGTGCGGCTGTGGATTACAGGGGTGAAGCTATTTATAGATGAACTATGGAGAAATTTTCTGCCAAAAATTGTCAGCTAGTTGCAAATATGTGCACCCTTGGCAAATGAAAGGACACCTTGCTCAGGAATCAGTCCAATATTGTTCTATTTTTCGTTTGGTTTGCATGGCTTTACTAAAGGCTAGAGGCAGCAAGGGCCACTATATTGACAAGTCAAACATTTTTTCCTGAAGAAAATCAGCATGGATGAGCATATTCGTTAGGAAAAATGCTTGAAGTGTTAGACATATGCAAGTTTGACATTAAACAGGACAGAGTTCAAGATATGTTTCTTCCTTTTCCTGTACCTTCTCCTCCTCTTTCTTCTTATGCTATATACTTTCTTGTTTGTTTAGAATCTAATAGTCCTAAAAGCAGAACAAATTCAGCAATCTGAATGTAAAAATTGGCCATCTCCTGATTGGATTGTTCTTTGTCCATCTTTAAACGTTATTTTCATTTATGAATTTATTGTGCAGTGAATACCATTTTTCAGTAAAAAATTTTGTTAGAAACTCAATTACCAGGCAGCCACAAGTTGAATGTAAATTTTTATTCACTTATTATTGCAAATTCTAGACTAACACAACATTTACATCCATAGAAATCTATATAGTATTATGGACTAATCTTTTCAGCACGATCAATGTAAAGATCGAGTTTGTTCTACGAGCAGGCTTTAATGCACTGTCACATTTGCAATTACATATCGTAATGCATACTTTGTTATGGTTTAATAGTTGATTAATATGCCCAAAGGGCCTAAAATTAGGACTTTGAAAATGCCACTATAGGTATTTGCATGTAGTAATGAACTAAACATTTTCATATAACATCGAATAATTGGCAGTTAAAACTTGTGTTTATTGTTCATCAAGCTTTATGGATTTAAATGCCGAAATATTAATTAAAAAAAAGTTAAAAAAAAAGAACCTTCATGAATAACGTTACTACAAGACGTGATTCATACTTGTTAGTAGAAACAAGCTGCTATGAAACAGATCCGAAGAGTTTTAATACATTGGACTAGTTCTTTGAAAACTTCTGAAAGACAAACCCTTTCTTACAAAAAGAGGCAAAGTAGGTAACATAATTTCGTTGATATTCGCATGGCCTTAAACTTAAAGTTCAGTTTAGAAAGGAAAACTTCTTCAATACTTTTGAATATGACAAGGCACGAAAGAAACTAAAAGAAAATAGATAAAATTGCTAAATATATGGTAGAATTTGTAACCAGTCAAGGCATATGCTTTTATGTAAATGAAAATCATATACAGTTTTGGTATGATTTAAAAATTCTACAATTTTTTTATTTTTTGAGTAAAAATAATTTTATTCTTCATGGCGACCGTTAATCCTCTTTTAATTCAATAAATTGGTGTACCTCGATCTATCACTTTGCCCACAAGAACAATTACATATTTCGTTTTTGTCTTAGATGTCTTGCGTGCAATAATGAAATTTGCAATTAAGACTTTTATTTCTTAAGAAAAATTAAATTAATTTTCTTGTAGCTTGTGGTGGACATATTCCTCATCCAAAAGGAAACACGACAACAAAGGAGTCTGGATAAGTAAACAAATACAAAGGACCTGTGATCAACCTTCAAATTGAAAACAATTTCAAACACAAAATCTGAATCCATCTACCAAACAGTTTGAGGTGACAAAGAATAATTTGAGGAGAAAGTAGATATAGTTAAATTGCAATTCTCAGGGTTCTAGCACTTGGGATCCTCGGTGACATATTTTCTATGCCACCTCTAATATTGCGTCAAGTATCCTATTATTATTTGCACTTTAATTTCTAATAATTCAAATTAGTTTGGTTTAACATAAATTTTCTCTACCCTCTAAACCTTTTAACCAAAATTAACCGACCGCTCCAATAAATCCTAAGAAACATCTCAACTTCTACGTTTAATTCCACCCTAATGGTTATACATCTGGTTCATCGCTTGATCGATCTATTAAATGAATATAATGCCAATGGCTTTAACTTTACAGATGGAATTCAAGTGCTCCAGTTGGCTTCTATCTACATGATGCCAACGCCGCCTTCAAATTCATATCAAATTCACCAGAATTACTAACCACCCTTTTCCCATTCAACCAATGGACATCAATCAAACCAAGAAAATAGAAAATCAAACCCAAAGTTTCTCTCTTTACAGGACCAAACAAAAAATGCAGTTTTTTTTTTTGAAAAAAGAAAAGAAAAGAAAAGGGGAACTTTAGGCTATTAAGCAAAGAAAATGGAAAAGGGGGGATGGAACCTCGAGGGCGTGCTTATAGCGCTGAGATTTACGAAGGTCTTTGGAGATTTGACGGAGGTCGGAGATGGTAATGCTGTTGCCTTCACTAACCCATCTGTGGAGGACATTGGTGGCGCTTCTTTTAGGGAGCCTAAGCCTCATTATTCTACTCTTCAAATCATCATTCGTCGTAGTTTCTGAATAAGAATCAGAACCCTTCTCCTCATCTGCTTGATCACATGCTACAACTTCAACCTCGCTTGCAGAAGGAGAAGGAGTAGAGAAATATCGCAACGCAGTCCTTCGCCTTAGTTTACTGCAGACAAAAAATTCTTTATGGGTTAATTTTTTTCAGCAAAAGGGATGGAAAAGGATCAAAGGAAACTGAAATACAGAAATACAGATGGAGATGGAAATTGTCAGTTGTTACCGAGCCATAGTGAGGAAGATGGAGCGGGCGGCCATGGCAGCTCACTTCACTGCTTGCTCAAGTAATAAGATGAGTATTATTGGAGCGGTCGGTTAATTTTGGTTCAAAGGTTTAGAGGGTAGAGAAAACTTGTGTTAAACCAAATCAGTTTGAATTATTAGAAATTAAAGTATAAATAATAATAGAACACTTGGCGCAATATTAGAGGTGACATTGGATTGTCATAGAAAATATGTCACCGAGAATTCCAAGTGGAGTTCTAGCTCACAAGGGAGTTGATTACCTAATATAGGAAAATTGAACCAACACTGGATGAAGTATGTTATACTTTCCGTTCATGTAATTGTTGAATTAAGCATGCAATCAAATTGACTGCGAGATAAATCCTAAAACAACAAAAATTTGTTATGGCTGTTTTTTCGTAGATTGAGCATGAATCTTGTCTCTAACAACCATATATCTTTTGATGAAATGAATGTGGAACTCTAAAATCTCCTCATCTTCAAATTCAGTTTGGCAAACTACAAAAATTTCAGGGTGCTCATTTTAGTTTCTTGTTTTGTTTTATTTGTGGATCATGAGCTATTTACATTGTTGGACTTTTTCGTTTTCTTTTTGCTTTATTGGTTCGCAACTAGACAAACAATAAAAAGTTCAGAAATTCCATAAATCCATAGTCATTTTCTTATCCTTTTCATCTTTTGCATTTGTCTTCCCTCACAACCAAATAAATCAATTCTACAAACTCCATTATCGTGTAAGGGGAGCCCCCCTTACAAGTTTGAAACTGTTAGAGAGGTTCTTTTAGAAATAAATCATCAACCCATGAAAATTTATAACATTTTCGCAGTGAACCATATCCTTTTTCTCCACTACTATATAAGTTTAAGGTTTGAATCCTGTACTTGTCAGTTGGAATGGGAATAGTGTGGGAAGGAGTGGGAGGATAGAAAAAAAAGTGAACTATATCCTTTTTATGGCATTAATTTTGCCCCATAGAAAAACTCCTGCCTCTATATATTATAAGTTATCCACCTAATCAACCAACTCTTCAAAATCGAATTCTTGAATGCAATGTTTTCCTTTTGGTCCTTATCTTCCAAATGCCATCCACTGCGGTTTGATGCTTGTCCTCTGGAACAAGGTTGAAGTATTCTAAGTGATCCTCATCCAACCAAGCCAAACTAAAGCTAATTGTGGCTTGAATAAAACGTTATTCTAAAGTTGTTAGCTTGTTATGTATTGCTTGCTGTTTTTTCAATATAATTAATGGAATAATTTTGTTTAAGTAATCCCCAAAGTTGTATTATATTGTCAACATGTCTTCTTGGTCCCTTAGCTGCGGTTTAGAATATTTTCATTTTTAAACTCTCATATTTTAATCTGTAGTATTTTGTGGAATTGGTACCTTTAGCCCATTACTAAAGTGTTTTTCGATAATACTGATTTATTTTCTCCCCAAGATCCAACTGAATTATCAAGAAGATTAGATTCAATTCCTAAACCGTTCCCCTTCCCCCTCTCCTTTGACGTTATCTTGTGATATTTGTGTGTTAAACATCTAAACCTAAAATTTTAAGGAAATTTTTAGGCTTATAGAGTATAAACTAAATATTTTATAAGGATAAAACATGACGATAACACAAAGTAATTTAGTACAACATACTTTGTGAAACTTGACGATAACAAATTGCAAAGATCCTTACTGCCAAATCAAAGACACTAAAACCAAGAGAAGAAACAGAAATCCAAGAAGGAAACTGAAAGATTACAATGACCAAATTTTGAGAGATGATTAGGCATAGGCATCAGGATTTTCAAGGAGATAGGCCTCCACAGCCTTGTACATTCCCTCAACTTTTTCTTTGCCTGCCTTGATGTCCTCTTCTTTGAGTGAGAAATCTCCTTTAGTGTAGTATTTGCTAGTCACCTTGGAGACAGTTCCACCTTCTGAAGTCGGCTCAAACTTGACCTCATAAGTGATTTTCTCAAGGTTTTCTGTCAATGAGCCGCCTTCAATCAGAGTGTGGTTGTATGTGTAGGTCTGTTCATTGAGCTCATCAATTTGGTACTTCAAAGAGCCAAAATGGCTGCCTGCAAAGCATTGACAAGTTGAGACAATGAATTCGATGTGGACTGTACATTACAAATCGTCTAATTGAAGGTTTTAGAAGGCATAGCATTTACACAACATGATTC